ATGTCCTGCTACACCCCGTGCCGGCCCTGCCAGCCCTGCGGCCCCACCCCGCTGGCCAACAGCTGCAACGAGCCCTGTGTCAGGCAGTGCCAGGACTCCACCGTCATCATCGAACCCTCGCCCGTGGTGGTGACCCTGCCCGGCCCCATCCTCAGCTCCTTCCCACAGAACACCGCCGTGGGATCCTCCACCTCCGCTGCTGTTGGCAGCATCCTCAGCTCTCAGGGAGTGCCCATCAACTCTGGGGGCTTTGGCCTCTCGGGCTTGGGCAGTGGCCTCTGTGGCACGAGGTGCCTCCCCTGCTGAAGCTGCTGCCTGCACTGTGGCCTCCACCTGGATCCCCCTCTTTTCCCTCTTTTGACTCATTAAAGCTCTGCTGCATCCCAGCCCACGCCTTTGTGTCATCCTTTGCCCTGCAGACACTCTCCCAAGGCAGAGAGGGTGTCCCAGGGGTGTTTGTGGGAGGGGGTTGTTGGGGCTGGTTTTGCACTGGCTGTCAACACAGGCTGGCACTGGGTGGGCTCAGTGTGCACCCAGTGACCCTCTGGGTTTTGAGTTTCTCTGCCTCTTGGGGTCAGGATAGGATTTCCCTGCCTTGTCCAGGGACAAACATCCACTCTGTTTGCTCTTCTTTTCCTTTTCCTTGCTCAGCTCAAGTACTCAGCAGTGAATGTGTTACTGACCAGGCACAGATACTGGATTCCCATCAGTCTCCAGCAGATCCGATCTTAACACAGGATGTTCTCAAAGAGAGGGACACAGTGCATTGTGCTGCCTTCTCACAGACCCCTATTATCAGGGGATCAGAGAATGGGTCTAGGTGGAAGAGACCATTAAGATTTATCTAGCCCAACCCTGCTGCCATGGACACTGATCATGGATACATCACATAAGATTTGAGTAAACCTGACCTTGAACCCTTCCCAAGATGGGACACCCCATCATTTCCTTGGCAATGTTTCCCAGTGTCTTATCACACTCATCACAGTAAAGTTCTTCCTTTTGTCCCATATGTATTTATCCTATCTCAGTTTAAAACTCTTGCTCCTTGTCCAATTATTGCAGGCCTTGATAAAGCATCTCTCTCCAACTTAATTCATCCACTTTTACATATCAAAAGGATGCAATAAGGTCTCCTCAGAGCCTGCTCTTTTCCTGCCTCATGTGATCATTTTTGTAGTCCTTGTTTGGAGCTGCTCTAACAGGTCCATGCCTACTTTGAATTGAGGACTCCAGACTGGATTCAGGGTTCCAGGTGAGGTTTAACAAGAGCAGATAAGAAGTGGGGAATCCCCCCCTTTTACCTGCTGGCCATGTTTCTGTTTGGGCAGCCCTGGACCTGATGGAATTTCTGAGTTGCTAATGCACACTGCTGGCTCATGCCCAGTTTTCAATCTCCAGTGTCCCCATGTCTTCCTTAAAGGTCTGTTCTCAGTCCTTTCTTCTCCTGGGCTGTTCTGATATCATAGATTTCCAGACTGCAACTTTCCTGGGAGAGTTTCTGGAGGGAGGGAGGCAATGAGAGGCAGCAGGTGTGGGCTGAGGGTCTCTAAGGGCTGTGCATGATCATCTGAGGGAGGGGAGTGGCTGAACTCCTGCAGGACACAGGTGGGCATGGTGCCACATGTCCATGCAGAGTCCAGATTTGAAGTTGGCTTTGTAGGATGTGACAGGGTCTTCTCAGACTCTGAAAAGTAGGGCCCAGGTGAGGTGCTTTTGTGGTAACACCATCAAAACAGGAGGAACTACCAGGAGTGTTCCTGGACACCAAGGATTGTCATCAACACCCTGGGCTATCAGAGCACGACCGTCAACAGGATATTTAAGGAAGCAAAGATCCCACTCTGCTCAGCACACCCCAGATGGCATCAAACATGCTGTGCTGCCTAGTGGACTGTAACACAGAAAGATCTCTAGCAAGGAAAGTGAAATACAGTAAAATTGACCAGAATGGTGGGTGAAGTAGGACATTTACTTGTGGGTGAGAGGCTGAGGACACAGGCTTGCTGACAATAGAGAAGAGAAGGCTTTGATGGGAGAACTGGAAGTATTCTTGGAGAGTCTGAATGGTTGCTGAATGGTATCAGGTAATTCTTGCAGGTAGAGAGAGGCAGAGTAATTTAGAAAGGTGACAATATGAGTAATCAATGCTGTGTTAACATAATGAATGCAATGCTGACAACAATGGCAATACCACTTCCAACAACGCAGCACAGCAGCACCTCTCTTGCTGGACATGTTGGGTGAGCATGTGCAGGGGAAAGGATGACACAGAGGCATGGGATGGGATGCAGCAGAGCTTTAATGAGTCAAAAGATGAGAAAGAAGTCACTCTGAGTGGTAGATAGAGCACCAGTGCTCTATCCCTGGGCTTATACTGTTCTGTGAGTCCCTGGCTTCCTTCCCCAGGGCCGTCACCAGCAGCTTCAGCAGGGGAGGCACCTCGTGCCACAGAGGCCACTGCCCAAGCCCGAGAGGCCAAAGCCCCCAGAGTTGATGGGCACTCCCTGAGAGCTGAGGATGCTGCCAACAGCAGCCGAGGTGGAGGATCCCACGACGGTGTTCTGTGGGAAGGAGCTGAGGATGGGGCCGGGCAGGGTCACCACCACGGGCGAGGGTTCGATGATGACGGTGGAGTCCTGGCACTGCCTGACACAGGGCTCGTTGCAGCTGTTGGCCAGCGGGGTGGGGCCGCAGGGCTGGCAGGGCCGGCACGGGGTGTAGCAGGACATGTCTTGGGGCTGCAGATGCACCTGTGGGGCAGAGAGGAGAGGAGCAAGCAGAGCTCAGAAAGGGCTATGTCACAGCAGTGTGATGGGCCACTGTGATGGAGAAAAGCAGAGAAGCAGAAGATAGCTGGAGGTTGCTTAGAGAGGCCCAGCAGCCTCACTGTTTGCTCAAGCCCCCAAGAATCTCCTGAAGAGTGACCGAGCCCAGGGACTTCCACGTCTTGGCCAGAACTCAGGAGACATCTCAGACAAAACCCAGCCTCTCTCCATGCACGGCTTCTGCCCCTTCCCTCCCCCATAACAAGCTGTTGTCAAGAACACAGATGGGATTAAAAGCAGAGAATGTGATCAAAAAGGCCAAAGGGGGAAGAAAAGAAAGGGCTTGAGACTCACCTTGATCCCAAGGAGATGGAGGTGAGAGGAGTGAATGAGAGAGCCAGGAGAAGGGCCCCCTTTTATACTGCTCCTGCACTGCCCCAGGCCCACAGGCACTACACAAGGACAGTAATTTTCCAACACATTCACCTCCACAGCAAAATCTCCTCCCTAACGCCACACATTGTGGTTTGATTCCCATCAACGCTGCCATTTCATTTCCTCATTTCTGACATGCTTGGTCTGTGCTGCAGCTCCTTTCACGTGTGCCGTGCAAGGCCTGAGGACACCCGGGATGGGAGCGTGTCCGTGCAGCACAGGATGTGTCCCCATGCCGCAGGGTCCCGTGCAGGCAGGGGATGTTGGCTCGGGGCAGTGCCTTGCCATTGTTGGCAGCTGCCTCTGCAGGGACAGCCCCAGCTCTGCCCTGCCCCGCACAGAGCAGCAGAGCACACAAAGGCTCCTCTCCTCGCAGCACGTCCTGCCTGCTGCTCTCTCCTCCCTCTCACCTCACTCCAACGCCCACTGGACACTGCTTCTCCAGGGAAATGCTTTCCTCTCCCTTCCTCTTGATGCCCTTTGCTGATGCAGATCATTTGCCAGGTGTTCTGAGTATTCCAGGCATGGGGTTGGAAAGCCAAAGCCCACCTGGAGCTGAATCAGGAGAGTTTGTGGTGGGAAACAAAAAGATCTTCCACACAGGGCAACAGCAAAAGGGAGGCTTGAGCCAAGGCTGACTGGATCAGCTTCACTGGGGGCAGGGGTACAGGAAAGGGGAAGGTTCTCCAAGGCTTCGGGGCCTTGGTCTTCACTGGCAACCTTTCCTGTCACAGGATGAGGTTCCTGATATTCCTCAGAAAGTCGGGAATAGGGAAGTCTGGAGTAGGTGTCCTCCCCAGAGCAGAGGAGGAGGATCAGCTGTAGGAACATTTAAACAGACTGGACCAATATAAGTGTGTGACCTGGTGATGGGCACATGAGTTTTGGTGTCAAAGAAAGCATCTCTGAGCTCCCTTGGGCAGGTGCCAGCAGTCAGGAAATGCAGCTGAGGGCAGAAAGAGATGGTCAGGGAGAATACGAGTAGCAATGCACAGACCCTGGACTTCAAACATGCCAACTCTTCCACTTGCTTGGGCATCTGGCAGGTCAGATGTGCCTGCACAGGCACCTGTGAAGAGCAAAAGAGATCAGAAGAGCTGGCAGCTTCTTGGGGGCATCTTGTGGTTCCAAGAAACATGAAAAGTCAAGGCAAAAGACAGGAAAAGAGGAGGAGATGGACAGAATGGACACAAGGACTCATCCTTCTGGTCAAAGACACCTGGCTGTTGAGGAGAGCTCTCCTGGAGTGCCAGGAGCTGAAAGAAGGGGTTTCAGAAAACACCACCCCACTGCTTTGGACACATCCTGGGGTCCAAAGCTCTCTGGCTTCTGCAGGGCATTGGGATTTAAGTTTTTCCAATGCTCCAAATGCCTCCTCAGCCTAGAGAGCAGCCCAGCACCATTGGAGTGGGAAGGAAACCTCCTCCATTTCCCCAGCCTGTGAGAGCTTTGGGGAAGCTGCAGTGCCACATGCCTGGGGAGGCTCAGGGAGGGAATGCACTCAGAAAAGCCCTGGGTACAAAACCTGCTCTCAAAATACACCAAGGACTGATGCACTTCCCTGCCCCACAGACATGGAGGCGGCTGGGACGCGTCCCAGGAGGGCAAGGGAATGCCTTCAGTAGGCAAATTTCCAGGGAGAGACTCTCCTTACCAGTGGCAAGTCATGCCCCAATTTTGGCTTGGCCTTGTGTCAGCCTTTTGGTGTGAGGCCAAGCCAGGGGTGCGTGGTGTCTGCAGGCCAGGCCAAGGCAGGGCTGAATTCCCCTCCAGCAAGGGCAGCTCCATCCTGGCCCTGGGAAAAAGGGATGCTTGGCAGCTCCCTCACGTGTCACATTTGTGTTCTCAGCACTGACAGCATGTATTGGAAAAGTGGCCTGTGCTTGTGTGTCATCCAGGTCAGGCTCCACATTGTGCAGCCAAAGGGCATCGTGGGTGCAGAGAGAGGGAGGAACAAGGAACGGTCCAAACACCCAACAGCTCCCCCAGATATTGAGGAGGAACCCAATGGCACAGGGCTCTGTTTGACACTTGATTCCTGCCAATGAGCAGAGAATTATTGAATCACACAATCACAAGGACTGGCAAAGACCTCCAAGATCGTTGAGACCAACCATTACTCACGTGTTCCTGCAAGAAAAGTCATTTGGCTTCTCAGCCCCTAACATGAAAGGGATCTTCATGACCTAGTGGGCATGTCAGAAACGAGGAAATTAAATGACAGTGTTGATGGTAACCAAAAGAGAGCCTGAGGCATTAGGAGGATATTTTGCTCTGGAGATGAGTCTGTAGGAAAATTGTTGCCCTGTGCAGTTACTGTGGGCCTGGGGCGGTGCAGGAGCAGTATAAAAGTGGCTCCTTCTCCTCACTCTCTCATCCACTCTTCCTGTCTCCAGCTCCTTGGGAATAAGGTGAGTTTGGAGCATTTCTCCTCCTCTTTGTCCTCCTCTAAATGCATTTCTAAGCATGTTACTTGTCTTCAGCTGGGCACGGGAGCTCTTTGCCATGGGTGGGGGAAGCAGGCAGAAGTCTGTGGCAGAGACAGACACTGGGGCTTGGCTCAGGTGTCTCCTGAGCTCTTGGTGAGGTGGGGATCTCTGTGGACTTTTTCATGATTTGGGGAGCTTATGGCATGGAGCAAGAGGGTCATCTCCATGGTGGGGTGACGGGCTGATCCTCACCCACTCCATGTGCTCTGCTTTTCCCTTCCCTGTCTCACAGGTGCATCTGCAGCCCCAAGACATGTCCTGCTACACCCCGTGCCGGCCCTGCCAGCCCTGCGGCCCCACCCCGCTGGCCAACAGCTGCAACGAGCCCTGTGTCAGGCAGTGCCAGGACTCCACCGTCATCATCGAACCCTCGCCCGTGGTGGTGACCCTGCCCGGCCCCATCCTCAGCTCCTTCCCACAGAACACCGCCGTGGGATCCTCCACCTCGGCTGCTGTTGGCAGCATCCTCAGCTCTCAGGGAGTGCCCATCAACTCTGGGGGCTTTGGCCTCTCGGGCTTGGGCAGTGGCCTCTGTGGCACGAGGTGCCTCCCCTGCTGAAGCTGCTGGTGATGGCCCTGGGGAAGGAAGCCAGGGACTCCCAGGATGGAACTGCCCTGGGGACCCAGCACCGGCTTGTTGCTTCCTGAGGGGCTGAGCAAGCCCAGCAGCCCCTGCAGAAGGACGGGGCCAGCCTGGGCTCTTGGGAAGCACAGCCCATCCCTGCCTGTGTCCTCTGCCTCTCTCTCCTTTCCCTCCTGTGTCCCTGCTCCCTTGTGCTCCCCTGGGCTGTGAGCCCCACACAGCCATCCTGGGGAGAACCTGCTGGCTCCACCCCTGTGTGAGCTCCTACTTGGAAAACACACCTTGGAAAACAACAGACTGTTGTTGGTCCCTGGTGCTCTCTGCATCGGCATCTCAGCTTGCATTGACATAAATTTCCTGTTTTGACTCATTAAAGTTCTTTTGCATCGCAACTCACGTTTTCCTCTCATTTATTCCTCTCCCAACATGCTGAGAAAGAGAGGTGTTGCTCAGGGCTGGTTGTGGGAGGGGATTGTTGGGGATGGTTGTTCACAGGGTGTTAACTCAGGCTCAATTGAAATATTCTTAATCATGCAATAGGTAACTCTGTTTTCTAATTCTCTCTACTGACCTGGGGCTGGAGAGCATAGCGCGATGCTCTTCAATGAACAGAACGACAAGACAGATGATTTTTGGTCTCCCCTAACACATTCTCTTCCCTACACTCAGCAATGGGCCTTCCCTACACTCCCTGAGCCTTCAGCCTCTTCCCTCCAGCCAAGTGCTCTCACCTCCTCCCCATGCTGGCCACCCTGCACCAAACTCACTCCACTTGGTCCTGGTGGTTCTTGCATTGCAGCCTGTCCCCAGCACAGGGCATGGCACCAGGCGAGTGCTGAGCAGAGCGGCATCATCGCTGCCACCCATCTCCTGCTTCCACTCCTGCTCGCACAGCCCAGGGTGCTGGTGACAGCCCTTGGTGCCAGGCCACAGTCTGGGCAGTCACCCCTCTTCTGACAGGGTGATGTGCTGGTCTGGAGTTAAACCAGTGGCAGAAACGAGCCCCACACAAATACCTTGAGTTTTCAGTTTGGTGTTAAAAGTTTAATAGAAGGTTTACAATAAATGCAATGGTACAGATAAACTGGCTTAAACCTACAATGTCAGAGCACAACCTCGTACCCTGTCGGTCAGGGTGGTGGTCTCAGTCTGAGTAAGTGATGGTTGCAATCTTGTCGAAAGTAGAGCTCCTATGGAAGGTCAAGTCCTACCCTGCATCTGTCAAGCTGTGGCAGTGTCCCATATCCCGAACCCCTTGCTTGGGTACAGTCAGGTTCAGGTGGTACCTCCCCCAGTGCAGAGGGTTTCACAATGGAAAGATGAAATCCTGTTGAGTCTCTGCAGTCCCCTGTTCTTGCTATGGTCCCTGAGTCCATGATGGTCCATTAGCAGAGACATTAGCAGAGAGCTTCTCTTCAGGATGGGTGCGGTTATCACAGCTGAGGCAATTGTGAAGACAAAGAACCATTGCCTTGCAGGGTTTTTTTCCCTTATCTAACACCCAGTTTGCTCCCCTGAGAGTTTGGGTGTGCACTCCGCAGCTGTTGCAAAGGATCCACAGTTCATCAGGAATGATGTCAATGGAAGGAGAATACAATAGTTTGGTTACATCCCACATTGTAACCCAGGACAAGTTACTCCAAAATCCCCTTTTCCTGGGCCTGCTTTGGGGCTGCTGCTGCTTGCCAGGGGCTGAGGGAGGTGTGTGGATGCAGGGCTGGTTGTTCCCAAGTCAGTTGTCATGAGGGCTCTGTGGGGACGCGTGTCCCGTGCCCAGCTGTCCTGCAGCAGTTCAGCTGCTCCTGGACAGCCCCGTGATACCCTCAGCCCACACCTACTGCCTCTACTCTTGCCTGATGTCTCTCCAGGCTCCCTCTCCCCAGGAACATTGCCAGGACACCCTGGGCACACACAGGGGGTGAGCAGGGCCAGGGGGAGATGCTCCAGCTGTGGGCCTGTGTGGGTGTGCTTAACCCCATCAGCACCGAGCAGCTCTCCTCTAGATCTGCTTTCCCAAGTGGGACTGGGGAGAATTGTGAGAGCAAGAGAGTGAGAGACACACCTTTCAGTCAAAATAGATTGAAGAAGATTTAAGAAAGATTTAAGGAAGAAAGGGACAAAAGAGAAGGCAACATTTAAGGAAGCTAGAGACAGACATATCAAGGCTGGCAGCGACTGCACAAGGAGCAAGGTATTTAATGTGGAATAGGGTAGATGTAGATGCACAAAAGAAAGGAATTTATGATGATGAGTGTGGTGAGGCACTGGAAAATGTTTGCTATAGAGTTGTGAAAAATGAGGTTCATCTTTTTGGTATAATTTAAAAAGTTGAATAAAAAGACAATTAGGAGCCAGAAATAAAGTAAAATGAACAAGTATGGCCAGGTGCCTCAGCACACCTTACTAACAAAGAATTGTCCCTTAAAAACACCCATCTCTTGCATATTCATAAATTCTTATGCATAATTCAAACATTCCTCTTAAATTTAGATGTTCCTCTGTTTAGTTTCAACTCCCCCCACCCAGCAGATGGTGCTGCATATTAATTCAATATTTCTTGTGGCTCCTTGCAGTCTCACACTCCCAAATAACACAGGTTCAATAAATTCCTCCCTTGGAGCTCTGGTCACCGCTCTCTTCATCTGGATAAGATAATCTAAGAATGCTGGGTTGGGGGGATTTTTCTGACTATCTTTTCATTCTCTGACTTATATGAACAAAAGCAGTCTTTATTTTAATACCATGCTACAGGGTATAAAATATATATATAATACACCAATATTTATGTTTCATCAATAGCAGAACTTAAAAAAACCAACTATATTAATACAGCAAAGTTTTATAACACTAGACATGTAACATTCTTTTTAATATTTACGAAAAGCCAATAATAAAATATGTATCTATAACAGAGTGATGTGGTACCCCATCTTGAGAAGGGTCCAAGGCCAGGTTTGAAGGACTTTTGAGTAACCTGATACAGTGACAGATATCCCTGCCCATGGAAAGGGGTTGGACTAGGTGACCCTTACTAAACTCCTCCAACTGCTGAAAAATGTGTAATATATCAAATTTCCCTCAATTCAGGATGATCTTTGATATCAGATAATCCTAGTTCCAGCCAGGATGAAGTTAATTTTTGCAGCAGCCAGGAGAGGGCATGGTCAGGACCCAGAGGTTTTTCTGTACCCCCTTAGGTCATTGCTGGGGCTGGGAGGGGGAAGGGAGTCTCTTCAGGAAGGAAGGGCTCTCTTGCATTTGGGGTGGTTGTGGCTGCAGCTGGGTCGGGATCTCCACGGGTGCATTTTGGGATGTAAGTCACGCTCAGTACAAAAGTTTTGTACACTTTTGTTACTAATATTGCTGTGGTTATAGTTAATTTTCTTATATCGTTGCTACTTCCAGTAAATTCTACTTACCTCCGCCTGTGATCTTTGCTTTTTGTGCCTCCAATTCCTCTCTCCAGCCCTGCACAGCGGAGAATGAGGGGAAGGGAGGAGCACAACACGGTTTTATTTGGAGCATTAAACTGTAGGAGAGCATTGTCAAACCATGACAAAGATCTTTCTGTACTTTCCAGCCTAATCAGCAAAAAAGGAGACCAGTGCAACAGGCAGCAGCTGCCTCCCCTAGTCAAGGAAACCTGGGAACTAACAAGCCTTAAAGATGTAATTGTCATTACAATTACAAGAGGGGGCATGGGCAAGATCTACATGTTAATTGATACCAGCTCATGTCCTTACCAAGACAGGGAGAGGGGACTCTCTCACATCCAGGAAGAAGGCTGTTCCTAACGGTGGGAAAAAGGCTAAGGGGTGAAACCATATGGAATTGGTTCACTTTCCTGTAAATAATTATTTGTCTTGTAGCTTTTATTATTACTATTGTAGCTGTTACTGTTTGTTTTCTTATCTCACTGCTGTTTGCAGTAAATTGTTCCTATCTCAACCTGTGATCTTTGACTTTTGTGATTCCAACTGCTGAGTACTTGTGTCACAGTGTTGAGCTGAGCAAGGAAAAGGAAAAGAAGTGCAGACAGAGTGGATGTTTGTCCCTGGACAAGGCAGGGAAATCCTATCCTGACCCCAAGAGGCAGAGAAACTCACAACCCAGAGGGTCACTGGGTGCACACTGAGCCCACCCAGTGCCAGCCTGTGTTGACAGCCAGTGCAAAACCAGCCCCAACAACCCCCTCCCACAAACACCCCTGGGACACCCTCTCTGCCTTGGCAGAGTGTCTGCAGGGCAAAGGATGACACAAAGGCGTGGGCTGGGATGCAGCAGAGCTTTAATGAGTCAAAAGAGGGAAAAGAGGGGGATCCAGGTGGAGGCCACAGTGCAGGCAGCAGCTTCAGCAGGGGAAGCACCTCGTGCCACAGAGGCCACTGCCCAAGCCCGAGAGGCCAAAGCCCCCAGAGTTGATGGGCACTCCCTGAGAGCTGAGGATGCTGCCAACAGCAGCGGAGGTGGAGGATCCCACGGCGGTGTTCTGTGGGAAGGAGCTGAGGATGGGGCCGGGCAGGGTCACCACCACGGGCGAGGGTTCGATGATGACGGTGGAGTCCTGGCACTGCCTGACACAGGGCTCGTTGCAGCTGTTGGCCAGCGGGGTGGGGCCGCAGGGCTGGCAGGGCCGGCACGGGGTGTAGCAGGACATGTCTTGGGGCTGCAGATGCACCTGGCACAGAGGGAGAAGGGAAAATCAAGGCATGAAGGATGTTTGAAGCATAATGTGTCACCCTCCTACATGAGGGAGACCCTTTCCCTCATCATAAAGGACTTCTCCAGGAGCCCACAGGCATCTTCTTTCCCTCAGAAGAATGCAGAAGGAATTGCAGACTGAGGGTGGACCCCAAGTAGGCCATGGCTCCAGAGACGTCTCTGCAAAGGCTGAACCTTTTTCTTTCCCCACTGTGTGCATCCTTTCCTCTCCCAGACTAAACCTTCTCAGGGCCCCAGAATATGACAGAGATGTGCAGAGACAACCCAGAATAGGAAGAAAAGGAAGACAAGGAGCAGAACAAGATAAAAGTCTTTGAAACTCACCTTGCTCCCGGTGTGATGGAGCTATAAAGAGTGGATGAGAGAGTGAAAAGAAGGTCCTGCTTTTATACTGCTCCTGCACTGCCCCAGGCCCACAGTCACTGCACAAGGACAGTAATTTTCCTACAGACTCACCTCCCAAGCAAAATATCCTCCCTAATGCCACAGGTTGTGCTTTTATTTCCAGCAACGCTGCCATTTTCATTTCCTCATTTCTGATGTGACCAATAGGCCTCCAAGGATCCTTTCAAGCATTGAGATGAAAGACCAAAGGGTTTTCTGGGCAGTGACACATCAGTACATGCAGATGTGTTGCATGTGCTGGAGGGGTCTGTGCAGACAGTTGACACCTATCTGGAGAAATATGCTGTGGTTGTTTTCTACCCTCTTTGCAGGCAGCTGAGCATAATCTCCCACCAAGCCTGTCTTCTCCTCATGTAGCAGTTTGTTTGGCAAGGTTGTCCCCCCTCATGGCTGCCTTTTGGGGTTACCATTGTGTGCCATCAGCAGTTGTGAGGGAAGATAACTTTGCTCTCCTGAGCCCCAGGAATCCTTGAGATGCCTCATGGAGTTGGGTCCCTTCCTCACTCCTGTAGGTGTGTGTGGAGGTTCAGTAAATACCTTGTTCTTTCCAGTTTCCCTCAGATCACCATACACTTTGGCCCCACACATTGGCACCATACTAGCCAAAGATACTTTTCCAAAACCAGTTGATTGTCCCAAAAGCTCTCTGAGCTGTGGGAGTGATGGGAACAAGTTGATGCTGAGGGCAATGTCTGTTTGAGCTGCCTGGAGCTCTGTACAAAGAACACCCCTGTGAATGAAGATGGTTTTCCTGAGGTGTGGATGGAGCTGCCCTTGCTGGAGAGGAATTCAGCTTGTGTGGGTCATGGGCCTGCACACAGCATGTCACAAGGCTAGAACAACAGCCAACCCAGGTAGAGAGAGTCTCTTCCTGGAAATTTGCCTACTAAAGGCATTCCCTTGCCCTCCTGGGATGCTCCCCAGCTGCCTCCATGTCTGCAGGGCAGGGAAGTACAGCCCTGCTTGGTATGGTTTGAGAGCTGGGCTTGCACACAGGGCCCTTCTGAACACGTCCCCTCCCTGAGCATCCCCAGGCATGTGGTACCACAGGGTCCTTCCAGCTCTCATTCACTGGGGAGTTGGGCAAGTTTCCAGCTTCTCCAGTGGTGCTGATTAGTGCTCCAGGCTGAGGCAGCTTTTGGGTCAGGGGAAAGGAAGCATGAGGAGCACTAATGCCAGAAGAAGTCATGTCATGTGAAGCCCAGGGATGTGTCCCAGATGGTGGGAAGATGTTTTCTGCAAACCTTTAACTCTGTAAAGCATTCAGGAGAGCCCCCCACCACAGGCTGACACAAGCCTCAGGCCAGGTAGATGAGGCCTGTGCATCCCTTCTACCCTACCTAAGCTTGTATGGGTTGGCTTTTCTCAGGCAATCCTTGACTTGGAGCTCACCCACTGCAATTACAAACAGCACTTCACTGTCCCAAGCCAATATCTGCCTGCACAGGACCTGTTCTGTACTTCTGCACTCACTGGCATGACTCTTCATAGAGTCATACCTTCTCATTGTGGCACGTGAAAGACTGCATGAGCAGGAATGTCAGAAATGAGGACATGAAATGGCAGCGTTGACAGAAATAAAAGTACAGCTTGTGGCGTTAAGGAGGATATTTTGCTTTGGTGATGAGTCTGTAGGAAAATTACTGCCCTAGTGCAGTGACTGTGGGCCTGGGGCCATGCAGGAGAAGTATAAAAGCCAGTCCTTCACCTCACTCTCACATCCAGTCCTCTGATCTCCGTCTCATTGAGAACAAGGTAAGAGTTAAGACTTTTCTCCACTCACTCCTTCTATTCTTCTTGCTTCAGTTTTCTGCACATACCTGCCCCTTTGTTCTATGCCAGGTCATGGAGCTGCTTATGATGGGCGAGGGACAGGAACAGAAAGTGTGCATAGAGAGAGTTTGGGACTTGATTAAAGTGAGTGAAGGGATAGGTGGGATTACCCTGGGCTTGGTTCTTGGCAGGGAACTTCTTGGCTAAAAGGAAGGAGAAGCTTGTGGGCATCAGTACAACACCTCCAGCTCTTGTTCCCATCTTGGCTTGACAGGGCAGCTGCACAGTGTGGTGATGGGTTGCTCTTCAAACACCTCTCATGACTTTTCCTTGCCCTCTGTGCCAGGTGCATCTGCAGCCCCAAGACATGTCCTGCTACACCCCGTGCCGGCCCTGCCAGCCCTGCGGCCCCACCCCGCTGGCCAACAGCTGCAACGAGCCCTGTGTCAGGCAGTGCCAGGACTCCACCGTGGCCATCCAGCCCTCGCCCGTGGTGGTGACCCTGCCCGGCCCCATCCTCAGCTCCTTCCCACAGAACACCGCCGTGGGATCCTCCACCTCGGCTGCTGTTGGCAGCATCCTCAGCTCTCAGGGAGTGCCCATCAACTCTGGGGGCTTTGGCCTCTCGGGCTTGGGCAGTGGCCTCTGTGGCACGAGGTGCCTCCCCTGCTGAAGCTGCTGCCTGCACTGTGGCCTCCACCTGGATCCCCCTCTTTTCCCTCTTTTGACTCATTAAAGCTCTGCTGCATCCCAGCCCACGCCTTTGTGTCATCCTTTGCCCTGCAGACACTCTCCCAAGGCAGAGAGGGTGTCCCAGGGGTGTTTGTGGGAGGGGGTTGTTGGGGCTGGTTTTGCACTGGCTGTCAACACAGGCTGGCACTGGGTGGGCTCAGTGTGCACCCAGTG